TGGCTCATCAACCGCGGGAAGTGCTCCCCAAGGTCGAACGCGTTGCATTAAGGGCACCCAAGGCCGACCGGGACATTGTCATCGTGTCAGCTGACAAGGGACGTTCTACGGTCATATTGGAACCCGTTTCTGCAACCACATGTGTCCTATTTTTAGTGGTTCTCGTGTTCATCGCTGGGGGATAGCAGTTCGTGTAATGACGGATTTTTGCTGTGTACCCCAGTCGTTAAGTGCCTTGATCCAGCGCCTTGTCCCGGTGATCGCATCTATTTCGTCTACTTCCGAACTGCTTCCTGGAACAGTTCATATTCGGCGCTGAGTAGAAAATATCAAGAGAGAAAGAACCTTTTAAGATTACTTTATTAGAACCAACCAACCAAATTACTGAAAACAGGTAACCAAGGCCTAAAACAAGTTGGTGCTTTGTGGTACCTCCCTGCCCCCTCCCCGACCCTGACAGACGCACTATTTTTTCTACATACCAACATAGTTTATTTACTTAATAACGATACACATGTGCAGGCCTAAAGAGAATTTATCGGAAAAAAACGTATGTTCGCCAATTTAGTCATCGAAATACGTTCAGGATGAATCTCTAACCAATAAATACATCAGAATTGCTATTCGAAGTTTACGGATTACGACACAAATTTCAAACTGTCCAAATGCCCACGAATGGGTGTTTCTGATCTCTTAATTAAAATCTGGCGATAATTATATAGTCGCTGTCATCTGGGTGTAAATTTCTTATTATTTTTGTACACACATTAAATTTACTTCTCATGCACAGATAGTGTTCTGTGCATGACTGCATCTGTGCATGACTATGACTATGCTACCATCACCTATGATTAAGGATTCCCGACGGAATCCGAAACGTCAGGAAAAAAATTCTTGTTCCAGTGATCGTATCCTCTTCTTCTAAATTTACTTGTCTCCATCCCAATTGAAATATGCTTCGTCCATCAGTGAGTAAAGTGTGCATCTTCCTCACATGACAGGTACCGACGGCTGAAATACCTAGTTGACCAGAGTGGCCTACTTCTGCCCGCCGACAAAATGTAAGTCCTAATTCGCCGAAACGTCAGGCGAATAAACATATTGTCCCAGCGATCGAGTCTTCTTCTTATTATTATTCTCAAGTCCTTACTTACCTACACATTTTTCAGCATCGCTTGTATGCAGCTAGCAAGGGCGCATTTTCTACCGGCAGGGTAAAGTTCAGTCAATTTATATGGAAAGAAATTGAAACAATAAGAACAAGGCGAAGATCACAATTTGAGCAGTATGTATTGACGTCATACAATTTCGTGACCTCTAATTCATCTGCCAACGGTCATTGCCTGTTAATATAGTAAATTAACTGTCCAATTAGAAGGTTGAAGCTTAATAGGTAAATAGGGTGGGAAAAATGAGTCAAATATGTGGGGGCATAGTGAGGGGTAGAGGAGGGGGGAGGTAATTGTCACAGCAAGGCGTTTCAGGTAACAGTGAAAGCCTATGAAGTGTAATTAAAGGAGGGGGCAAATTACGGGATAGCACTCGGTCATAGCGGGGGGGGAGCGAGGGAGAAGGTGTGAGAGGGACTGGGCTGATCGATCGTTACCACGGCAATGCGAGTTGATCACATGATCCAGGCTTACAGAGTTCTGGTTTTCCTCTGCGTATTGCAGCGGCCTCGGCAAACCGAAGTATGACCTTAAACGCGGTCTTTTGGTCAACTGTATGGCCAGTA